AAAAAAAAAAAAAAAAAAAAAAAAACTATTCACAAAAAAAAACAAAACAGGAGGACGTGCTGTTCCCAGCGCCTGCAGAAGCCTTCACACATGGTTTACAAAAAGTACAGTGTAAAAAAAAAAAAAAAAAAAACGGCCTGGCATCAACCAATAAGATTCACGCAAGGGAAGATAAAAGAGGCTTCGAGAAATTGTTGGTTCATAAGTTTAAAATTTTAACCCTCACAACATATGGAGAATTCGAATGAGCCTCTCCAAAAAGTTAGGGGACACGGTCGGGATAAAAAACAGCCCGCCTGGGGGCGGGCGGAATTTTTTTTTTTTTTGGGTCAGGGCTGGGCCTAGTGCCACCGCACGGCATGGGACAATTTTGTTTTTCCACACTGGCCCCTTCCGACGGCCTGTCCGGAGGCCTCCAAAATTTTACGAGACCGTCAATCGAGATCACAACTTGGCCGTCTCCGTAAAATTGTGGAGGCCTCCGGACAGGGCGTAAAATTTTAGTGGTGGTTTACGCCAGCAGTACATTTCCCTGTCCGGCAGAGCCTCCACAATTTTAGGAGAAGCTCGATCAGTTTAGCCCCTATTTTTTCAGATTGTAGATTGTGGCTTGCATGCTGCCGCACCTTTCGTGGCCCTATTTTTTGCAGAGTCGTATAGCTTGCATGCTGCCGCCAGAGCAAAATGGCTGACAGCCAAGCAGCCAAAAGGAGACCGGCACTGCTTCATGTTCCTTTAGCGCGCAGCACTCTTCCACAGCCAACCCGCCCCACGCCCCCGAGGAGAAGTGCCTCGGCAGTACTGGTGGATTAAACCGCCAGTCTCTGGACTCTCTGCAAATCCTTTTTTTTTTTTTTTTAAGGTTAATTTCATTCCCAAGGCAAATACGAGGCCGGGACCTCACAATCCAACCCCGGGGCAGTCTCTACAAATCCTGTTACACATCCTGTTTGCCCGAACCAACAATTTTGATCGCCCTGGCCTTTCCTGTACCGGGTCACAGCGACCGTGAAAAACTTTTTCTTTTCACAGAGAAAACGCCTCCAATCTATTCACAGGAGACTCCGACGAAACCACAAGTACGTCGTGAAGTTGTGCCTCCCGTATACAACCCACTATTTTAGGAAATGTACGGGCCACTACAGGAGCGCCCAAATTCATCTGACTAGAAACGTTTCTACTCTATTTTTTTTTTTCCCCGCAGCCAATAGCTGGGCCAAGTACTGGTGGTTGAGGGCATATGCGTTTCATGTGCATCAAATACTTTTTTTGATTGGCGCAAGTCTCCTTTTTTTCCCCAACCCTCTTCGCTAAAACAGAACGCCTGGTCATTATAGTTGTGTATTTTGGGCACCTTGCAGTCCAGATACAGTGATAACGACTGGGCGGCCAACGTTCTATCTGGGTGAAGAACGGTACCCTCCACCCACTCATTTGCTATTCACATGGGATCAGTCTAAATAGCACAGGGATGTGCTATTCCTTGGCCTCAGTAGCCCATCCATGGACTATTCAGACAAGTGAATAGCACATGAATGGGCTATTCAGCCCCTGATCCCAAGTGAATAGCATGGGCCGTATCTAGCACTTATCCTCTGAATAGCACCCCCCTTGTAAAATAGACTCGACTCCTGAGTGCGCCATTCTCCCATGAGCTAACTGGAATAGGACTTTCCCGGATGTATCTGACCTCAGTTACGACCAGGATACCACAAAACTGTGTTTGAGGAGCTCCTGGATCAACGTCGTCTACCGCTATGGGCCTAAGGACATACACTAGGACTTTCCTGCACGTGTCTGACCGCAATTACGACCAGAGCAGTCACTTGAAAACACTGTGAACCTGGCCTTACATGCACACTGAAAATAATAAGAGGGTCCAGACCCCAAGGGCCAGCCAGGGCAAGCCTTGCTCTTCTTTTTTGTTTCCAGTCTTTTCGCTTTATCTTCATCATGTATGCTACGTTTAGCGAAACGCTACCTTCATCCCGCAAGAACACAACACAATCCTAATCATGACCGTATTGGACGAGAAAGATTGCTTGTATACACATCCATAACCAGCGTGTGTCCTGTTCGCGGGAAGACGGTAGCATAGCTGCTTCTCTGCGGGTCCATTGTCGGGATATTTGCTACAATCATGGAAAGACTGTTTTCTTCGACTCTAAAATTTTAGCTCAGTGCAGGGTGTGCCCCAAAATTTGTGGCAGGTGCAACGTCGTGCATCACTGCGTCAGAGAGAATGGGTCAGTGTAGGACATACACTAGGACTATTTGTAGAGACTGCCCCGGGTTGGATTGTGAGGTCCCCAAAATTTTGGGGCACACCCTGCTAAGATTTTGGGGCCCCAGCCAAAAACGAAAAAAACTGCCGGTTCATTGGTTCCTAGCGTGCAGCAGGGTATCCTCTTCGTCAAAAGGAAACCTGTAAGTACTGGTGGTTTAATGCCCCTCCAATTTCAGAAATGCCCCTCCAAGGACAGCATAATAATATTTCAGTGTCATTTGGCTTCGATCTGTTCCCTTAGAGCTCCACTACCGTCTTCCTCTGAACACAACGCAGCATCATTTTGGCTGTACCTGACCGCAAATATAAGTTGTATACATTCATCATCAGTGTGCGTTCTGTTCGGGGCAAGACGGTAGTGCTTGCTTCGCTTAGGTCTATTCCGTCACGCCACCCGGGACCCCCACACTTCATGGCCCCCCTGCCCCCCCCCCCACAGAGGGAAGGATTGGGGGGGGAAGGGGGGGGGAGAGGGAGGGA